CACGACTCTTTAGGAGTAGACTGGCCCTTCACAGCTGTCGCTCCCAGTACCACTAGGGGTGGGGGGGAGAAAGGGAATAGAAAAATAGGATGATAACCCCGATGCAGGTACCGATGTAAACTGGGAATGTGAATTAGTCGCCTCAGAGGATCCACCAGGTCACTTCGCAGAGTCGACTCATCCTTATTCCATTGGTAAGGAACACATTCCATTCAGATCGTTCCCCCAAACTGTTGCAATGTGTAAGGGACTCCCTGATCACTACAATCTTTACTTCATCAATTGTTATGTGTCCTGCATATTCTCATAATATGCAAACGTTTTTCATCTTTATATCTCCATTTATTAACCCTCTACACTCTTATCAGTTGAAAAATATTTTTTTTAAAGTAAGAATAAATATAATTATACTTTATTTTCGGAAGAATAATGTTGATAAACAAAAAAGGAAATTATTTATAACATAATCTAACATGCAACCAATGATATTTTAATATTACTTAAATATATTTAACAGTGCGGGTAAACTGGCATATTAAATAATATTGTTCTTATGGATCTGTTATTTTAATATATATACTTGTGAAAATATTATGTAACAATAAAAAAGTATATTTTATTTCTCTGTTACATTAAGTAAGCATCGGAACTTTTGATATATTAGACGCCTTTGCTATATCAGAGATCGACGAATGTCTTTAAAGAAGAAACAAAGACGATCGCATTTCGATAAAAGCTAAAGGCACATTCTATATCGGTAACACTGAGCTTAAGTCGTAACACGTGGAAGGTTTGTACGTGTGTAGCTTAGATTGAATCAACGCTTTCATGCACTGTCGTCATGGACACATGGCCCAGTGTATGTAAATGTTGGTTGAATCCAGTGACTTGTCCGTAATGAGTTGTGAGTTCAATGCCAGGCTACAGCTGAGGTGAACAAAAAAAACAAACTTGGGGATTTAAGTTAAAGGGAGATAACTGATACTGAAACATCCGGAAGAGGCATGGCACGTGGAACGAGAACAATCTACCTCGGTGGTCGAAACAAAACGTTCAGTTTAAAATTCCAATCACCCGAGGAAGACTGGAGCATACAAGGGCCGTAAACGTCGTGAATATGACAACGAAGATGAGGACAAGAGTCCGAACAATCTAAATAGTGTAAATAATTATATTTTTCTCTTTTTGATTTCTGTTATATTGTTACTGATTTAATTCTACATTTTGATTTTAAAAATATTTTGACAATTTCCCAAGATCTAAGTCAGGGGAAAAAATAAAAATAAAAATAAAACAAAGTAATAAAGCAAAAAAAAAAAAAAATCAATGTAAAATAAAATATAATTAATCAAATTAGTCGCGCTAAACTTTTTAAAGATATAGTTTTTTTTTTTATTATTATTATTATCTTTATCGGACAAAGTAATTATTGCTTATAAAATAAACCCTGTAATTTGTGTATTCATATAAATAAATATTTCTTCACTCATACGAAAATGCGTTTTACAGAGCATGAAATAGATTATTTCTCCGGGGCAATGCAAGAACATATTTCAACCCTAATTGGGGATATAATCGACCGTTATTAATCCATGGGCGATAAACTTCCGTTTCTTTGATTATTGCAAACACGCAACACTTAACAATAGCGTATTTTGATTTCTAATATAGTGTAATATAATAAGCGGGTCTTGGCGGGTAAGATATCGAAATCCAGGCAAAGTTTGTCGTCTATTACAAAATCGAAAGGTTCTTGGAAAAACCGCGGCAACTAATAGACTATTAAAAGGAGAGAATTGCAGAAACCTTACGTTCATCATCATTTTATAGAAATTAATTATTGCAATCATTTGGAGGGGAAAGAGAAGCCATTGACACATTAATATATGGGAACTTGGAGAGCTGAATAAGATATATAATTAATGCGGAAACGCCTTCAAAGAAACGGCCGGAGCCAATCATATTCAGCGTTGGAAACCTGTAATGTTAAAATTTCTCCTGTAATGAATCTAAGAAAATCAAATACGGTTCACGGACATGTTGTGGGTATCAACACTTTCCATGAGATTTTAATACTCCTGCTACATATGACCCGCAAACAATATTGGCCGACTCTTGTGTGTTCAGGTAAGAAAGACATAAGGCAGAGAATTTTAACAAATACATATTAACAAATATATTGTTAGGACATTCTACAAAAAGGGAAAATGGAATTTAAAGCGAAGAGTTCAAAGCAACCTTCAATATATGTAGCTGAGATACTTACATGCCGATGGGAGCGAAAAGATTACGTCTTTTTGACATTAATGTCACGGAGAAAGATGGATACTTTAAAATCTTCAGCCGCTTGTAATTATTGTCAAGGGCGGTAATTGAAGATTCTCATAGCCTGTGATTATCATCAGGGACAGTAATCCAACAAATAGCGATGCATAAACCGTTTTCTGGAGGCTGACGGATATAGATTTTAAAAGAACTTCAAGCTGAACCATTCGAAAGATTTCTTGACGAAGGATAACGACCAAAAGTGGATGCTAATTACAATTATTTTGATTATAAAGTCTTTTCCTTTTTTTAAAGTTAGGCGCATTGACGCTACATCTAAAGTTCAGATGTTAGCCCTAGAAAAATTATTACGAGGGTCAATTTTATTGGCGATATATTAAGGGTTAATCTTGCTAAATAAAGAGAGTGCATGGAGAAATGCGGCCAATCTGTTGTTTCGAAATAGGGCTCAACAGTTATAATTTCCAAAGAAAGGGCAGTTAGTTCCAAGAGTGAAACCCAGGCACGAATCTTGATATTATCGGCCTGTGGTGGTGGTGGTGGTGGTGGTGGTGGTAGGAAGAGGATATACCAGTGTGTGGAACTTTTCCAAAATGGTTAAAAAACACTACAACGGGTTAAACCAGCCCTATGAATGTATATAGATGCGCGTTTTCATGTATATGATGCATTTTTAATCATTTCAGTCCCAGAAAATGAATAAAAATGACAAGGATACAACGGGTTACTGACAGAGAAAGACACAGAAAGGACAATAAAACTAGTACTCAAGGGAACATAAAATGTTGATTGACATTGCATTTATATTTATTTAGCTGAAGAAAGTAGTGAATGCCAGGAACAAAGGAAGCCGGAAGGGAATTCCTCAGCAAGAAGTGTAGGAGAAGAAATGATTACCATAGAACATAGGGTTCCAATTAGCAATTTCAACAGGTAAAAGATGAGGCCTAGCTGCCAATGTAGTACACTGCCTAAATTTGTGGCGTCTTCATACCAATGAGGAAACCTCGTCGGAAAAATCAATTTGAAAATATTTGTAGAATTGTTAAAGGTAAGATATGTAGCGGCGGTGGAAAAAATGACTGAAGCCGAGATGCCAGATCAGGAATGATAATATTGCAGAATCTTTTGATTTTTTTTTCAAGAATTTCTAGATATAAAACAGAAGCACCAGATAACATGAGGCATCAGTATTTGATCCATAGGCGAAAATAAATTTTTTTATATATATATATATATATATATATATATATATATATATATATATATATATATATTATTTTTTAAAAGCGATTTCACCCCTTGAAGCAAGACAGTAAGGTCGCTAAAACACAAGGGTTACTTTGTGGAGAGAAAAAATAGGAAGAAAACATTACTAATGAGCAGTAAACAAAAAGAGCAACCAGGAGGACAATAGATAGCGATTGACATTCCATTTACTTTTTTTAGAGATTAAAGTTTTCGTTGCGAATGATTTCTTTACAAGTTACGGTTATTTTAAAAGCGCATCTTAGGTGTTTCAAGGCCGAAAGTAGGGCCCTCCAGCAAGGGAAGAAGTTATTACTTAGTCGCAATTGTGCTAGCGTGACAAGTTTTAACCATTACACCAATTTGAGGGGCTCCTGTTTACAGCCTACGTCTGTAGAACAGATTTCAACCTCATGTGGCTAAAATGACTTTAAAGTTCAGAGGCAATTTAAAACGTGCGCGCCCAGAATACGGAACTTTAACAATATGAACGGTATACTGCTTATTTCTCTTCCTTTTACCCTAGAAAAGGATTAAAGATGATCACATTGAAACTTTACACACAATTTCGGCAAGTTCATTTATAAGATTCCATTTGACATTAAGAGTCACAAACACACCACTGAAAATTGTTTTTCCTTTGGTTTAAATGAAATTTAAATTTGAACAATGGAATGACCCCTGTCCAAAATATAAAAGGAGAAAGCCAGAAGATGGAGATCTCATCGGCAAGATTAAATGGAAGTCAACTTGAGCAAGAAATCACCAATTAGTGAGTATTCCCTTACAATACATATTTTTTGCGACGATTCAACTGTCATTTCAATGTTGAAATTTGCTCATCAATTCATTCAAGTATTGCATCACATACAGATCAAAGGGGTCAGATCAAGCTGTTTTTGAACGAACCCACTACTGATTTTTTTTTCCTTAGATTTAAATGAAATTTAAATTTGAAAAAAAAAAGGAATGACTCATCTCCAAAATATACAAGAAAGCCAGAAGATGAAGGACACATCGGTATGATCATTGAATAATATTGAAATGCATCATTTTTGTCCACAAATTATAACAATGATGTAAAATCAATCATCAATTTTCAAAATAAAATGTGTTACATGCAGCAAGGTGCGGGTAATTAGGCTAGTAATATGATAATGTCCATCAGTGGTAAAGAAAAGTCCTCCTTTTGAATTTCTTTATATCCACAAACAGTGAGTAGATAGCGATTTTTTTTAGATGTTATTAAACAAAAAGAAACGTCCTGTGCCGGCTCTTTACAAAAAGTCCTACGGCTCTGACCAGATCGCCAGAAAATCATAAGAGAACCTTTTCATTATTCGCGCTCTTTTCTTTATATACGCAGAAGGAATAGTTCGAGGCAGCCTGCATTCACGCAAACACGTGCAAAAATACTCACCGAAAACATTATAAACTGTTTACTTTCACTTTCAACAACGCCATGAATGGACACAGCATATAGAAGAGGAAGTTATACATTTTATTCATTTATTTCTCTCTCTCTCTCTCTCTCTCTTTCTCTCTCTCTCTCTATCTCTCTCTCTCTCTCAGCCAGGGACTCATTTAATAAGAAAAGTAGTTTTAGCAACGCGTTTCATCCGTTAAGATATCCCCGGACTGGCCTTTGTTGATGTTACTACGTTAGACATGCGCACGAAACGAGAGATGCTGGTAGTTTAATGTTTTTCAAAGAATATTTTTGAAAGATTACTTTATTTTTTTGAAAGAATATTTCTTCTATCTAGGCAAATTCATATGTATTATTCTTCTTTTACTTTTCTCTCCATCATCAATTTCATATTCAGGGCGAAACACAAGGCTCATAAAATATTCTAAAATAGAAGAGCTGTCCTTCCTGACAAACCGAACGGATCTAAAATATATATATATATATATTATTCTACCCACTAACATTAGCACAACGACAATCGAAAAAAATATCCAAACTTAACATAAATTTTTCATAACTACATCTTAAACAATCAAAGACATAATAAACAAAAAAAAAAGCCAAAACATGAAGGCGGAATTTACTCTATCAAGTGCAGGAATTTACAGAAAGAATATATTCGAGAAATCTCATATGTTTTAAAAAAATAGACTATATAAACACAAAAAGGACATTTTACAAGCAACACGCAAAACACATTGGCAGTTCACTGTAACGAAACGGACAACAATTTTGATAAAGGGAATTCTAATTTGATTAAAAGAGAAAATCATCCACTTAGACAAAAATGTCTAGGAGATTGCCTTGATCGTTAGTTCAGACACGGTAATTTTTGCATCCATTTTTGGCTCTTACAGTATATGACTATTCTTGATAGATTTTCTGTTGTCACAATGTTGGATAGTCAAGGACAAAGGCGATGGGGAGAAAAAGAAAAAAAATACCGATGAATTTAGGTAGATTACAAAAGATTCTTTCAACAAACTAACAAAAAAAAAACAAAGTATTCTTTCAAAAATATTCTTTAAAAAATTTTGAAACTACCAGCCTCTCTCGTTTCGTGCGCATTTGCAGACGAGGCAACATCAACAAAGCCCATTCTGAGGAAATTAGAGTGGATGAAACGCGTAACAATAACTTGTTTCCTGTTTGACATTTATGTGCCGTGTCCTTTTCAGGACATTTCTTCATATCCCTTATATATACAATTAAAAAAAACTGCTACGATAATATATATATATATATATATATATATATATATATATATATATATATATATTTGAGATGTTAATACTTAATTCTTGTGCTGTCTGTCAACTACACTTTTATTTTGCGGCATGGTTTGATAGTAAAACTTTCAAAATATAGTCGTATTTTTTTTTTATCGTAGCAGTTTTTTTTTTTTCTTTTTTATATATTTGTTGAAATCTTATTTGTATCGAAGAATAAGAAAAAAAGGTAAAATATACAATCATTGAAACAAAGGCATCGTTATCAGGCAGAGAAGCCAGTTATAAACAATGATAACGTCGTCGGATTTAGAGCGATCTCCAACGAATGAAAAGAAGCTCAAATGTAAAGGTGAACACAGTGGAAAGCGTTCGGCGGCAGTTTGTTGGCTGAAATAGATTATCAAATCCTTCTTCTTTTATCCGCCGTGTCCCTTTAGGACGTAGCTGTTCCTGTCTCTCCACAATTTCAAATCTTTTGGCGCTGTTATTCATATGTGACTTTTCGCTATCTCTCCTAATTCATGTTCTACCAACCATTCAAACAATCTCCCTAACGTTCGCCTGTCTTCCATACCTTCAATATGTTCCATGAGTACCAAATTTTCCAAACCCTATTTGATAATTATGTCCTCTAGCCTTCCAATATCCATTCTCAGCATCCTTCTGTAGAACTGCATTTCTTTTGCATCAAGTCTATTCTTCATCTGTGATCCTATTGTCATAACATTCACTACCATATAGGAGGAGCGATATTATGTCCCTACACGCAAGCTGCTACTTATAAGCTGGTGGGGGCGGGGTGGCGGTGGTAATGACAGCAGACTTCTGGTTGCAGCCACCAAGGGGGGGTCTAGAAGTCTGCCAGATATAATATTACCGAGACGAACACACCGGTGGTCCGACAACAGGTCGTCAACGGTAAATGTTAGTGGCATGCCACTGAGTGGCAGTTTGGTGGCTTGTGTGTAAATATAAGAATATATATATATTTATATATATGTTTTTCAAACGAAATTTTCCTGTTTCCTAATAACATGCTTTTGTAAGGCCTCTTTCGCTATGTCTATTTAAATCTTTGGATTTCGGTGTCACAGTTTACGTCCTGTTTTAAAGCACTTACTAGGTTTTTAATTTTTTGTATTTTGTTGTCTCCAATTTTTAGTTTGCATTTTGTCATTCAGATTTGGGGGATTTTCGTTTTATTGACAAATATTCATTCTGGCTTCTTAAAAGCGATTTTATTGCATTCTGCTCACTTTCCTTTACTAAATTCTGTAGCGGTTCCTGCATTTTCCTGTATGTGATATCAGCCTTGGGACATCTACATATCTAATAAAATTTTTTATATATCTACAAATGTTGGGTCGATAAATAAAAGGAGGGAGAATTTAATAACCACACTGGAGATCTTGTGTAATTTTAGCTATAGTATTTATACATATGGTATAGCTATGAGGTCACTTCTAGAACCCATCTTATCTTATTATTGCATGACTGACATAGAGAACTGTTTTGCCAAATCAATGTTATATAAAACGAAGAGACACCTTTTTTTCTTTTTAATTCAATAAACTATAAAGTTTGATTGAATTATTCATCTATCTATGTATCTATCTGACAGATAAAATTCTATCATTATATATATATATATATATATATATATATATACATATATATATATAATATACTAAAATGTATTTGGTAAATGCAGAAGTCGACTTCACATTGACATGACTCGCTGATGAAGCAGTTTCATCTGAACATCGGTTAATCGGTAAAACGTCAAATTAAATTTAGCAAATTGATTTCTGTCTTCAATATCTGTATCTATAAAACGGAAGATGTCTGTCTGTTTGTTTGTCTGTGTGTCTGTGTTTGTCGGTCTGTGTGTGAGTATATGCTATTTAGCACATCCACATTTCTCGACCGATTTTGATGAGATTGTACACATATGTTTCAAATTAATCAAATTAGGTTAAGAGCAACTTTTAAATCTCGAGACACCCCGGGTTTGGCAGAAACATTTCGATAAAACTGAAGGTGGGTAGAAACTTTTGGAAACACCAAGGCAAAGTTACACATGAACAAAATTTTTACTCTATCAGCTGATGTTCTTTGTACTTCCTGCAAAACATAGCTCATGTTGGTGAGGTTTGTGTAGAGTGCTTTATAGTTTTCCTGCCACATTAGTTTCATACAAAAGAACTGTGAAGAAATCGGAGTTTTCGTAGTATTTAAAATAAAAACTTGAATGACTTCCTCATTTTTTATCCGATTTATCATAACTAGCTGGTTTTCATCGAATGTTTTCCTAATTTGCAATGTAAATTTTATATGAAACACAAATTGTCTTGCCTGAATATTTGGTTTAGATTATTTCAGTTTGGTGAACAAAATATACGAGAAAATATATCCAAAATCGGCTTTTGCCATTTAGCCAAAAGTTTATTCATATGATTCCATTCTAAATTGTCATTCGAACAAACTTTGAAGCAAATATTCTTACAGAAGGATTACTGAAGCGTTATAAGGGAGAAATTCCCAAAGAAGCTCTTATTAATCTCAGCTTTGCAGTAAACGTGCGAAGAAGGAGTGGGGGCGTTTGCACTTGTAGGTGTTTGCACTTGTAGTTTACTCAATCTCTGATGCTTAATCCCTATTTTTGTTTGATCATTAAATTTGTGAACAATGCCATACTATTTGAAAGTTATTGGACGATAAAGTTATCTAAAACATTGAAACACTTTATCTGCAACCAACGACCACACAAGAAGGTTTTATTGATGAAATTCCTTTGTTAAGAACAATCAAACACTTGCGAAAGCCATACCGTGAAAAAGACGAGGCGGGGAGTAGGGTTAGTATGCCAACGGATGATGCATAAAGGCGGGGACGCAGGCAGATATTTCTAGACAGGGTGCGTGTGTATGCAGGGGGTGTGGTTATCGTGCAGCCATATACACGGGCAACGCCAGGTACCTCATTACTAGTTTATAAATATATACCTCCTTCCCCCGTCTTTTTTCTCTCTGTCACCGTCTCTCTGTCTGTTTGTCTGTCTGCCTCTCTCTGTACACACACACACACACACACACATATATATATATATATATATATATATATATATATATATATATATATATATATATATAATGGTGGCTACCTTCGTTTCTTGAGCCTGTTCATCTGCTAGGACAGCTATAGGATCCATGTCGCAGACACCCGCCCGGTACATTTTTGTCTGTTCTGCATCAATATACTGCAACTATACTGATCTGACCATGGCTAGATTTGTTGGATCAGAGTGCATAATATGTTATGATCAGTAATTTGCTCAACGGCAGTACTCTCAAAGCCTCGGTCACAATGACTTCGGGCTACGTGCTGTCAGTTTCAGAACAGTCTCTTTATCTAATTTCACTCATAAGGCTTGGATGAATCCGTGGTTTTGTTTTTCGAGCATCTTCCAACGCTGCTGTACACTGGGATCACCTGGGAACGAACCGATAGTATGAATAACTAATGACAAATCTATAAACCTGGAACATATGGTCGGAATGCGAACGTTCTACACACTCGCCACACACATATATATATATATATATATATATATATATATATATATATATATATATATATATATATATATATATATATATATATATATATATATATATAATCATGTATATAATTGGTTATGTATACGTATGTACGGAATTGTTGGTCGATGGTTGTGCTAGCACAAATCTACAAGTCATCGTGA